GATTCCGCCTCAGCCTTCCGAGTAGCCGGAATTACAGGCATGCGCTACCACACCCGGCTGATTTTTTGATTTATTGTAGAGATGAGGTCTCGGCTGCCCAGGCAGGTCTCGAACCCGCGAGCTCAGGCAATCCACTCACCTCAGCCTCCCAAAGGCGCAGGATTACAGGCTGAGCCACCAAGCCCAGCTATTTTTTATTTTTTTGAGTTGGAGTCTCACTCTGTCACCCAGGTTGGAGTGCAGTAGCATGCTGACGGCCACTGCAGTCTCAACCTACTGGGCTCAAGCGATCCTTCCACCTCAGCCTTTCAAGTAGCTGAAACTACAGGCATGCACCACTGTGCCCAGCTAATTTTTTTGATTTATTGTAGAGATGAGGTTTCACCAAGTTGCCCAGGCTGGTCTTGAACCCGTGGGCTCAGGCAACACTCTCACTTCAGCCTCCCAAAGTGCTGGGATTATAGGCATGAGTCACCACGCCCGGCTTGAGAAAAAATTAAGGGAATCCCTCCCCCATTTTCCTCCATACTGTGCTGTAATAACAATTCCAGATGAATCCAAAATTTAAACTTGAGTAATAAAAACCACAAAAGTACTAGATGACAACAACAACAACAAATGAACTGTTTTTTAAATCTTGGGGTAAGGAAGGCCTTTCAGGGTCCCTGATATATGACTATCAGCTGAGTGCGAATGAGAAAGCACACTGAACAGATACGCCCAAGCCCCACCCTTCCACAGCTTACATTGAACAGTAAAGCAGGTATAGGTGTAAAACGCTCAATGTGGATCATGGACAGAAGGTCCGGGAGATGGCCTTCACGGGAGCCCACGAAGAATAACCTAGAAGGATGAGAAATATGTCAGCAGGATCCTTTCATTCAGTCATATAGCCATACTTCTCACTCAAATAAACTAGGCTCAGAGCCCCCCAAAAAGGCAGGAAATAGTCTTTCAGGAGCATCCCATGTTCTCTCTGCATCACCAGCCCAACCTACTGCCGTTTTGCCTACAAAATTTTCCACCTTCAATCATGGGCATCTCACCACTACCCATGAATGCTCCACCCCACTGTTTCCCACTGACAACTCCAGGTCCTCAGCTATGAAACCCACCATCACCCACAAACATTCCCTCTTCTCTCAACCACAGATATACCTCACAACATCCAACAGACGCCTCACCCTGCAATCACTCACTAGCAACTCAATCTGTCCCACAAATATATAGCTCACACATGACTTTTTACTTATGTACTTATTTTTTTGAGTCAGAGTCTCACTCTGTCACCCAGGCTGGAGAGCAGTGGCACGCTCACAGCTACCACAGCCTCGACCTGCTGGGTTCAAGAAATCCTTCCACCTCAGTCTTCAACCACAGGCGTGCACCACTACACCCAGCTAATTTTTTCATTTATTGTAAAGATAAGGTCTCGCCAAATTGCCCAGGCTGGTCTCAAACCCCTAGGCTCAGTCAATCCCACCACACACAATGGCTTTTTAAAGAAAAGCAGTCAGATTTCTGTTTGTGTCCTCCATATATCTTCCCTGGGCTTATGTATGACAGACCAGGGCAAGCCTGGTGGTCAAAGAGACAACCCAGGCTTCCTGTCTGTACCTAGAGAGCTCTACTGACTGGGAGAAAGACCAGTACAGAAATGAAACACAACCCAGCATAGCCAGCATCATCATGGAGTACAAAGCACCAACTCAGTAGGCTTGAGGGTAGGCTAGGGGAGTAAAAAGCTTTGTAAAAGATGACAACATCTGAGCTGCCAAAAGAGTAAGTTTGGCTGGGCACGGTGACTCATACCTGTAATCCCAGCACGCTAGGAAGCAGAGGTGAGAGGACTGCCTGAGTCCAGGGGTTCAGGGCCAGCCTGGGCAACTTGGTGAGACCTTGGCTCTACAATAAATAAAAAAATTAGCTGGGTACGGTGGCATATGCCTGTAGTTCCAGCTACTTGGAAGGCTACGGTGGAAGGATCACTTGAGCCCAGCAGCTGAGGCTGTGGTAACCGTGAGCATGCTACTGCACTCCAGCCTGTGCAGAGTGAGGCTCCTATACACACAACAAAAGAAAAAATAAAAGAGTGAGTTTGCCTGAAGCAAGTGGGTAGGTAGGGTACAAGCAAATACAAAGGCAAAAGAGGCTTGGAGGCATGAAACAGTGTGGCATCTGGAAGTTGATGCTAGAATACCTAGATGTCCCAGGATAAGGTGTATGAGAAGGTGGTGCTGGAAAGAACCTGAATTTGAGACCATGTCATAGTCTGAACAAACACTGACCGCCAGCTGTGGCTATGAAGTAAGGGCCTGACAGAGTTTGACACTAGAGATTCTAGAGGCCACACTGGAACAGGGAGAGGCTGTGGTATGGGGGGGAAGGCCAGACAAGAAGGGCATCCATCAGAACTGTCCCGTAAGAGAGAAGGCCTGAATGAGGTTGAACATCCTGGAAGAGGAGAGAACAAGATAACCTCAATCAAATCTGGTGATCATGTGTGCTAGTGATTGTGTATGTGTGTATTTGAGTTAGGGAAAAGAGTAGACACGAAGAGAAAAATCAAGAGGCCAAGCAAGGAAGATGGATGGACCACAACAGCCCAACTGGAGACAAATCACGTGTGGGAAACATAGTGTGGGCTCCCCAAGTGGAACCATAGGACATCACCCCCGGAAAGGTGTCATTGGGCAAGATGTCAGAGTTGGCTGGTGAGGTTAACAATCTGTACTAGGTAGAAGAGAAATCTGGCAGAGGGACACCAGAAGGGAAACGGAGGAAAAGGTGCCTAGCAGAAAGCCAAAGATAGCTGTATGGCAGTAAAGAAAAAGTCACCAGGCGTGGTGGCTCACGCCTGTAATCTCAGTACTTTGGGAGGCAGAGGCGAGAGGATCACCTGAGTTCAGGGGTTTGAGACCAGCCTGGGCAACTTGGCGAGACTACGTCTCCAAAAGGAATAAAAAAAATTAGCTGGGCATGGTGGCACATTCCTGTGATTCCAGCTACCTGGAAGGCTGAGGTGGAAGGATCACCAGTAGGTCAAGGCTGCAGTGGCTGTGAGCATGCCATTGCACTCCAGCCTGGGCCACAGAGTGAGACTCCAACTCAAAAAGAGAAAAAAGAAAAAGTCAAGAAGGTAACACAGGCAGAAATGATTGTACATTATCTTGACATCACTGCAGTCCCCTTCATGGGCAGGTATAGACACTTATCCTCCAAGTACTTGCCCTGCCCCAAGATGCCACAAGATATTTGAGTGAGATGAGAAGGCACCTACACTCTAAATATTTGAGACAACAGGCAGGGAAAATTGAGCTGTCTTGGAGCATCAATAAGAGTGAGGCTGGGTAACACCATCTTGGAGGGGCAACCTGTGAAGAGCCATGTTGGGCACCACCGTGGCCATACCAGGATAAGGTGAGGGAGGATGACACTGTATTATTTTACAAGGCCTTGATCTCTCTACTGCTCTGGTTGCTCCAGAGAGGCCTCAAAAACAAGAGACTGGTGTGTGAAAAACAGTAAGAAGAATGAATTGGACAAAACTATCTCTCTTTTTTTTTTGTGGAGTTGGAGTCTCATTCTGTTGCCCAGGATGGAGTTCAATGGCATGCTCATGCCCACTGCAGCCTTGACCTGCTAGGCTCAGGTGATCCTTCCACGTCAGCCTTCCAAGGTGCTAGAACCATAGGCATGCACCACCATGCCCGGTTGATTTATTTATTGTAGAGACAAGATCTTGAACCCCTGAGCTCAGTAATCTTCTCATTTCCACCTCCCAAAGTGCTAGGATTACAGGCTTGAGCCACCACACCCAGCAAAACTCTCTCTTTTATTGTGGCAAATATTTATTGAAGGACTATTACATTCCTGGCCCCTGGAGATAGCAACACTTACAGGGTGAGCAGAAGACAAATCACAGGAAAGAAGTCTTCTTCTCAGATAGATGTCATAGAAGACATGGGAATAGTTTCAGAATCAGAAAGTGGTCAACATTACTTGCTTCAGAAGTCCAGTAGGATAAGGACTAAAAGACTTAATAAGAATATCATTCAGGTAATAGAAGCAAATTATAATGGATAAAAAAAAATGAATGAAAGTTGAAATGCAGACAAACTACTCTCTCAAAAAGTACATCCAGGGCTGGGCACAGTGGCCTGAGCCTCTACTCCCAGCTATTTAGGAAGCAGAGATGGGAAGTTGCTTGAGGCCAGGCGTTTGAGACCAGCCTGGGCAACACAGCAAGACTCTGTTTCTAAAAAATAATTAATTAAAAAAGAAGTGTATCCCGGGAGGTGGGAAGAGGGGAGATGAGAAAAGCTGTTTTGTGACTTCTGTAAGTGGAGATCTGAGTAGCTCCTGGAATGCTGGCTCCAAATGAACATCCACCAAAGAGATGGGACATCTGATGAAGCAAAGTGCTGAAGAAGAGAGGAAGTGCTGGAAAGTGCTGGAACCCTAAGATCATGTAGCAGTAGCAGAGTCAGCTGGAACAGACATAACTGCTCTTTCCTCCACAACAACTGGAAGGACAAGTACTCTTAGAGAGAAGTCCCTGCACAGAGAGGGGACCGTGGACTACCTGATAGCCTCCGCATTTGCTGTGAAGTGGGGAGCAGAGTCATCCTGTACACAGCACCAGCACTTGGTACACAGCAAGTGATCAGTTATCATTTTACTGAAGGAGTGAACCCTGGGGCTGCAGCATAAGCCACAAGGAGCCAAAATTTGGTCCCTGCCAGGATCACCACTCCAAGGTACTGCCTTTTTCCCCTACATCTTTTAACAATCTTTCCTTACCTCAGAAGGAAATATGAGCTACCAACACACAAATGTTTGCATAATGGCAAGTACATGCATATACACACATGCACTGTGGAAGGGGTCTTAAAAAGACATCTACAATGTCAAAAATTAGGCTAAGCATAAACTCAACATTTGCACAGTTAAGCATGTACTCAGCCTTTGCACAGTTAAAAAGTTCCCTTCCTGGAAACTGGCAACAGCACTTACTGGCTAGGTTAAACTGTTTAACAGCTTTTTTTTCGCTTCTGTGAACCCCGCTAGCATTGCTTGAAAAGTGCCTAGGCCTCCAGGATGTTGCGGTTTGGCCCACTTGGAAAGTCCCAATGTGGTTTTGCCCCATTTAAGCAAGCACCTACAGCAAATGGAGGCCCTTGCTGTGGGACTTGCATGTCCAGCAACAAGTGGCCACCAGCCAGCTCTTGGCTAATAAATCTCTCCTTTTTATAACTTGTACTTTTGGTGTCGGTATCTGTGAATTAAGTGCTCAGTCCCTATTTCATCTGGGGGCTCGTCCGGGATATCCGAGAGCTTAATCCCCAGCCCCAATCACCAGCTGACCTTGTGCGTCTGCATACCCGCGAACCTCAGTGTTGTCGGGCCTGGTGAGTCTGTGGACTCGCAAACGGCTGATTGTCGTCCTGGCAGACTCACAATGTTCCCAGAGCCCTCTGAGAGGTGAGTCAAGTTCCTGTTCTGTTTGTGCACACTTCTGGTTGGACCTGCAGGAGAGCTGGACACAGCACTAATTCCTGACTCCAAGGTCCCAGTGAGACATCACTGGGCCCTCCAGTATTGCCCTCGGGCAGTTAGGTCTATCTGTTCAGTTTGTGTTATTGTCTTTATTTGTTCAGTGTTAGTCACTGTTGTGTCTGTCATTGCTATTGATATTATGGGACAACAGTGCTCTAAGCCTGACACCCCTCTGCAACAGGTTTTATGCCACTTCGAAAACTTCCAAAAAGTGGCACAGCAGTCAGGTTATCAGGTAAACCAAGGAAACTTAACCACCTTTTGTTCCCTCGAATGGCCCACAT